TTTATTATTCACAAAGAGCCTCATCTTGGACTCACATTCCTTTCTTTTGGATTTTAATGCATAAAATTGAATGACTTTTTTTTTTTTAACCACTTTCTTTCCTTCATTGGATGAGCTCTGCAGATGGAGAAGTGATATCTTACTCATATTTGAAAACCTCCACCAGATAGCCCAGTGGATGAAAGCACCTGCTTAGGCAGGAGCAGGGACTAGGGTTCAATCCCGAGTGTGCTGTGGTGTCCCCACCGGCAGGGTGCACTGAAAGGGCCTGAGACTGGGCATGGTGGCACGTGCCTGTAATCCCAGCACTTGGGAGGCTGAAGACAGGAAAATCACTACAAGTCCGAGCTTTGTAGTGAGACCCTGTAGACTGTGTACTAAATACATTTAAAAACAAACAAAAACAAAAACAAAAACAAAACTTCCAATGCAAAGTTTTGTTGGAAATTGTGGATCAAAGATAGAAACAAATAACAGGAAGAGATTCCCCATGAGTCTTGGCTCTTTGCCACGCTGGCAACAGGAATTGCTAAATACGCTATATAGAAAATGGGAAGACAGCTAGGCTATGCGCTAGCAGGTCTGCCACAGGGCTTCTCTGGAAAGAGATGAGTAGCATGACTCCATAGCACCAAAACCTCCTCTAGAGTCAGACAGCGAAATTCTAGGAAGTTGGGATTGGAGCTAGATCAGTGAAGAACAACCACAGAATCCAACACACTGAGAAAAACAGAGGTTAATTTTTCTTGGGTGCCCACTGCATCAGCAGGAGCCCGCTGCCCCGAAGCTACCGCCTTGCAGGCCAGTGAGCACTGAAGTAAGGAACTGAACTTGGGACCTTGTGCCTGCCAGGCAGATGCTTATGCCGCTGAGCTATCTCCCCAGTCTAAAGTCAACTTTTGACATAAGAACTACTCATCACTAACTCTACTGTCATCTGGACATATTAGCTTTACCCTACTCTCAGAAGACTTTATCCAATAGTTTGTAGGAAAAAAATTGATAAGCTGCTAATTGGCAATTTTTATATCTATCATAGCCACATTCCTACCCAGACTGGTCACTTCAAAACAAGACAGTAATGGAAAGGAAGCCTATTCTGTCTTTGTAATGAAGGTCTAAATTTTGGCCTTGTTTTATGTATGTTGAAGAGCTTGTTACTACCTATCCTATGATTCGGTCACATATTAAGATGTTTAATTTTTAAGAAAGTAGATAGAATTAATAAAATTATGTCCTAGAAAACTAGTATAAAAGCACACACTGACTTGTTTGTCCTTTCAAATAGGACAATTGAAGAATTTTGGGGATCTTTGAAAACGTATTTTTCACCACTCTGATGAGGCATTGAAAGATACAAATATAGCATGCTACCTTGAATATACGCTCATTAGCTAAGTAATGAGTATTTATCATTGCTTAAAGGAATTGTTTTGATATGCCTATCACAATAGAGGTGACAATGAGCTAATTGAGGATCCTTGGAAATTCTTAGATCTCAGAGATATTGAAATAAAAAGGACAGTTACAGCCTTTTCTCACTGTGTCCTCTGCTCAAACTGAGCTCACTCTACATTGCTCATATCATAAATAACATTGCTGAATGTTGGAGTTAATTATTATTAACTTCAATATTTATTATTATTATTATTATTATTATTATTATTATTATTAAGGAACTTTGGTCAGCAAAGAAAACTGGATACCCGTGTCTGAAAATTTATTGTTTTTAGAACCTGAAATTCTTTAAGCCATCTGGAGAATTTTAAGAGGGTAGCTAATTTGATTGGTTTCTTTAAAAACTTCACCCTGCCTGCCATGTGAGGACTACAGGGAAGAAAACAGGGGACTTATGGCTGGGTAAGTGTCTCATGAGCTCACGGTGGCATAGTTAAGGGTAAAGGTGACGATGTTAAGGAAAGGCAATTGTAGTTTATATTTTAGAGGTAAAATGGATAGGACTTAAGAGTGAACTGGTGAGGGAAATAGAGTAAGTGGACTAATAGATTAAAGTGTATAGTTTAGCATTACTCTTTAGCAGTTGTGGTCAGAGAGTGAACTGCTTGCTAGCACTCACAAGAAAAATCAAATTAGGGAATAGAAAGCAGGAAACTTACTTCAAGCATGTTAAATTTGTCATGATTGTGTGTACATATGTAAGTGTGGTAGCAGTTAAGTAGGCAGAAGTGCATTGGAGTCCAGAGTTCTGGAGGGAGGGAGGGACTCGAGATGGGAAGTCACAGTTCTGCTGATGCCTAAGAGCTTACACGCACATACTACAGGTTAGATGCTACAGGATGGCTTAAGCATTTTACCTACAGCTAACAATTTCATTTCTCTGGCTACCCTACTTTATAAACCATATTGTAAAGATAAGAAAACTGAGTTTACTAAAAGATTCTTTCCTTGCTTCTCAGCCTTTTGGCTAAGATCAAGTGTGATACCTGAAAGAATCTTTCATTAATTCAAAAAAAAATTAAATGCATTATCCTACTAGTTGATTGGGTGGGATGAAGAGAAGAGTAAGTGTGACAACTGTAAAGAAATCATGATACTACTTTGGTGGGTTTTTTTTCTTTTATTTATGTTTTTGGAACAAGGTCTCACTATGCAGGTGGGACTCACAGTGATTCTCCTGTTTTCACCCTTCCCTGTGCTGGGATTACAGGTGTGCACCACCACTCCTGGACTCGGTCCCTGGCTCAGCACACCCCAGGGGTGGGGCCACATGGCATGCATGACCAGGGATCTAACCCTGGCCTCTGTGCTTGTCAAAACAGATGCTTAGATGACTTTGGCTTTTATACCTAACTTTGAATTTAAAAAATAACCTTGAATGAGTGACTATAAAGATGATTTTTTAAGTTTTCTGTATTTTTTTACATGATAGAATAAAAAGGTGTTCTTTATTGGCCCTTGTCTCCTCTGTAAAGATGATTGTGGAGGTGGAAACATTTGAACAAACAGCTGCTGCTAAATCACAAGTATAATACAGGGACAAACAGTTTGTTCAGAGAGCTCTGGCTTATATTATTATGTCAACACTTTTTAAAAAAAAAAACTGCTTCAAATAGGAAAAGGAAAAACAAATAGCAGAAATTTGGGCATAAAGTTTTGGAATGGAGTTTTGAGAACTGAGGAAGCTCTGGGCATAATCAAATGAACATTTCTGTCTTTCCCTACTAACCTCATTCTTTTCTTTATATGTTAAATTCTATTTTTATTTATTTTATTTACTGACTACTATTCACAGAATATACTGTTCTCATTCAATTATTCTTATAGTTATTGAACACTTGTCATGTTAGGAAGTACCTATCATGAATGGGCTTACAATTTAGTTTGTGGTAAATATTAAATTCATCATTAATCAAATTGATGAATAATACAACTATATGATTAAGTAAATATATTGATCATTCCTTAAAAGTCTGTAAGGATACTTAAAAGGGAAAGATTAGCTTAACCTTTTTGAGAATTTAAGAGGATTCATTCATTTCAAATCACGTCTAGGGTTTCTAATCTGTGTGATCAGCTAGCTCTGAAGGCTTAAAAAGTGAACAGAAATAAGTGTTCTCCACCCCTGTGATCTCTTGAAACCCAACAGTTGTGCGCTGAGTAAATTATTGCTTTGTTTTTTCTACTTCT